AAATTTTATAGCAATATTATGTCAATAATATAATTTTATAGCCAATTTACCGTAATAGACAAAAGTTTTAAATTAATAACATTTTTCAGAAATGAAATACCTATGCTAGATAAAGCGACATATTTGAGCCTCACAAATAATAAAAATCTAAACTGGAACGATCATATAAATGAAATAATTGCTAAAGCCTTCGGAATTTATAATAAATTAAAATGCCAACGAGATCCGTATTCTAAAGTGTCTTTCAAAAGTAAACGACATTTATCTTACTTATATTAAGTCAATAATTACTTATACTAAGTCAATAATTACAATGATTACTACATTCATCTTACTTATATTAAGTCAATAATTACTTATACTAAGACAATAATTGCAATAATTACTACATTTATCTTACTTATATTAAGTCAATGCATCCCCTGTCTGGAGCAATATTAGTAAAGCACAAACCAAAAAACTCTATTTATTCCAAAACAAATTACCTAGAAAAATGAGTGGTGTCTCCTATTTCATCAGAAATAAGGACATACGCAGAAACTTTAAATTAAAAACTTTTTCAGAAACATTCATGACTTTTAATAAGCAATCATTCAAAAAAGCCCAAATTGCTTAGATGCTAACTACAATATTTTCAAAGCCGAAATGCTTTAAGAAGACACCAAAGTTAGACCTCTAGCATACATTTTTACTAGTAATGCTAGTTTATCTAACAAGCTTAATTAATTTATCACTAAACTGAGATTGTTTCGGTACTCTTATCATAATTAGTAACGCTACAAGCTTACTAAGGCGCGAACGTGTTAAATTTCATCAAATGCGCGGCGAAATAAGATGCGATCGCGGCATCTTATTTCGAATTCATGATTATAGTATCCTTTCATTTTCCCTCTTATTTTTCTGTAATTTTTCTTTATTTATCTCATCGCAAATCATGATGATTATATGACATGATCCAATAAATCACCATGAAAAAGGTAAAAAGCCAAAAAAATAACATTAAAAAGATTTATTAATATTTTAATATTTGTGTTCAATAGATCATTTAAAAATTTTAGGAAAATTATAAATAAATGAAAAACGTTGCTACCTTATTGATTAATTTCATACTTTTTGATGAATATTTCCCCTAGTGGTAGAAAAATCAGTCGAATTTTGTTTAATATCATTTAAAATTTAAAACATGTATAGTTGGATAGTAACCTAATTTTAACTTTTTTTTTATCACTCCTTTCCCCCAACTTCCACACCACTACTAACAAGAAGTTTTCAGATCACGACAGATGTAGCGTATATGCAAGCTGATGTTTAAGTCGGCTGATAGGATCGACCCTCTGCTCTCTCAATCTGCAGAGCGAGAGATGCCGTTATCGACTTTAACCATCTCCATGACTTTAACACAGGAGCTCATTGCTTAACATTAAAAATGCCTATTTTGTATTACGTCCAGTTTCAATAATGCTCATTTTGTGCAATGTCCATATTTATTTACATATTTTATGCTAAGCCCGTTTAATTTAAGGTATGTTCATTTCATCAAGCATGCATTTCAAGTTGCGTAAATTTTCCTGAACACTTATTTTGAGCTATGTTGATTTTTTAAAACGTGCATATAGAGCTTCCATTTTCGTAAACTTGCATTTATTTGTTTAATTAATTAATTTTTTTAAGCTTTCGAATAATCTCTTAATCCATCTCCCATTTCATTAACTACGTCAATTTGAGAAATGCGGAATTTTAGCAATTTCAAAAGGGAAAGTTTATAAATTTTTTAAGTGATTTTAATTGTTTTGAATAAATTATTAATTATTCACAATTAATTAATCACTGATCATAAAAAAGAGGCGTTTCATGAAACGTATGGACGGTAATCAGAACTCCTAAGGAATTTACCCATTGATAATAGCGGTAGTAAATTTTTTTAAGATATCACTTTTTAATGCGTAGATAACTGGCACCATAGAATGCTGATTTAGTTATATTTCATTTAACAAATACTGTATATAATGGCGGTCATAAATGCATAAAAATATAGACATTTGTTTATTTTTGTTATATTTAAAAAGAAAATTGCGAGAATCATGGGAGTCTTGGTACTTTCAAACAATAATCTTATATATATACTATTCTGCCGGCCAGGTGGACGAGCAGTTAGCGCGCTTGACTGCGATGCCATTGGCTGCTGGTTCGAATCCCGCTCTGGACATGGACGTCTCTCTCTCTCTTTGTGCTGTCCTCTGTTGTGTGTGTAATGTGTGAATGTGGCCCATCCTATAAACGGGTTTGTGGCAGTGTGGCGTGGGCAACGTTGCTCGCCTCCGTGACTTTGGCTCACAGGTGCCCACTGGGTATCGCTAAATGAGTAACAATTCCGGCATCTTCATAGGCTAAGATTTAAATTCAGTGCCTGCCATTGGAGAAAAAAATATTTACTATTCTATTTCAAAAGTGTTCCTATAAAATTTCAAGGGCGTAGTCAATCAGCACTTCATTATTTAAACTTCAAGTGTTTTTTTTTGTTTTTTTGGGGGGGAATTTTGAGTGGACGTTAGTAATTGTTCCAGTAGTTATATGTAATAAATACTGAAAAAATTTAACAACTATAAAATATCTTAGCATTAATATATTTTTTTCATATCGATAATTCAAATATTGCATGACTTTAAGTGGCAATACGAGGTAGTCAGTAGCAACAGTTAATATTAGTAGTGCAGGTTTGTAGTGGCCATCAAACGAGGAAATGGGAATAAAAGAATTTTTTGTTTTCACAAATGCAAACAAGATATGATTGCCGGAAAATTATTTGAAATTGACATGCCATGATTGACATATTAATTCGTAATTTTCCTGCCAATCATAAAGGTCATTCATTTTCAAATACTTTTTTATCATGCTCCAGTGCTTTATTAATAAATACTTGAGATGAATGATATATTCTTTATTCTAGTAATATTTAATCTACGATTTCAAATGCACCTTTCCCCAAGAAGTATTAAAAATTTCCGCGTTTAAAAAAAGTTAACTCTAAATTTCTGTTATAGTATAAAATGAAAGAAAATAATGATGAAATATTCGTTCGTTCGTTGTAGTGGAACAGGGCGTTTGAGGCCTTACGGCCCTTTTCCCATTCATCCTGAAATTAGACTAAGAAGCATACATGACAAAAATAAAGTTTGGGGAGCAAAATGGAGTTCTTGAGAGAAAAAAAAAAATGACACTTTGCCTTTATTAGGTTATTACAAAATTACGAGTATTAAAAAAGTACATGAAAAGAGATAAAATTAAAGTACAATGGGAAAATAAACACTAATGAATGTGACAGTATTTACAGTTTGGGAGTACATACAAAAGGGGAGCGAGTTAAAGGAATGTGAGGATGTGTGTATACGTGTAAGAAGTGTGGCTCTATCAAGGAAGAAACCCGGCCGTCCTGGTAATTACCACTCGTGGCGGGTAGCATTCGACACTTAAGTTACAGGGATTAGCTTACCCCTGATCAGACCCCGAGGGGTTATGATGAAATATTTTAAATTAAAATTTAATAAATACTTAGCATCATTAATAGCATCAGCATATTAGCATCAGCAATACTTAGCATTAATAAATACTTAGCATTAATAAATACTTAGCATAAAAACGCATCATTTGTTTCGTAATAAATTAAAAATAAAAGTGTCTATAGTTTATTTTAGTGAACACTGTCGATTATGAGTGTTTTCCTATTACATAAATAGTATGAGTGTGATTATAATTAAAATCAGATCCCCCCCCCCTAATTTGCAAGTTGGTTTACCAAAAATTCAGCTAACCGTTTTTTTTTTTACTATAGGCTTTAAACCCTAAAGCTTTAATGACCCTAGAGTTCTATGACCCTAGAGCTTTAAAAATTTGAAAAAAATTCGATTAGTATGAAAATGAGTTTTAAACATCTAATACATTTATCACCACCAAAACAAAATAGATCTGCTTTAAAATTTTGTTTGCCAGATCTCTAAATGTTGAGGTATTTTTATAAAGAGCTTTAACATACTTTTATTTCCCCTAATAAACGTTCTAAGGACCTTGGGTACCTTTAAATTGTATAACTTCTAATAATGTAATGGTTTTTATCTTATGAACTGAGCAGCCTTTTAGCAACTACTTTAAATTTTGAAAAATGAAGAGATAAGATGGTCACCTCATTTTGGACAGTCCAAATATTTATGTTTCTCAAAGGGTTAAAGGGTCAGCGAAGGGTGCTTGATATATCCCACTTCATTATTCTTCACCCCTAAAGTTAGACGTTATTTTATGCATTTTTATAATTTTTTGTGAAAATTTCTACACATTATACACTTTTTAAATTTTTAACCCTCTTTCGATTAGTTTTGATTTTGGTCTTGGTCCTGACAAATCTTTAAAGAGTTGTTTATTTTGAAATGAATTATCATATTGTTTATATTTTTATGTAAATATATTTTGCCATAAATATGAGTTATTATGTTTAAACTTGCAATCAAAAACTGAAAAAAAACGCATGTTTTGTCAGAATTTTTTTTTAATAGTTTTTCACAGAATATAAAAGTAATAAAAAATTAGAATTTTCAAACATTTAATGTAAGGCCTTTAAATATACAACTTCTATACTTTATAATTTTCATGATTTTAAATGGATAGAATCAATTCAAAAATTTGTCTAAGAAAGTTATTCATTTAAAAGCGGATGATTGAGAGTTATCAATTTAAAAATTTAAATAGACAACTCTTTATACTGAAGAAAAGTATTTCATTTACAACATTTTCTACAAATATTTTCCCTCATATTTTTTAAAGTCATTGCATTTAAATTTAACGAATGTAAAATTTATTATCAAGATTTAAATATGTATTGTACCAACTCATCTAAACAATGCATTCGATTTCGATTATGTACTAAATAAAATATGATCCATTTTAAGAAGAATTCGAATTGTGTAATTTTCCTCTTCATTGTTCAGTTATTAAACTAACACTACCGATGCAGCTGTATTGATACAGGAGCGCGATTAAGATATCGCATATTCTAATTCGCACGTCAACCATCTATATTTATGCGTTATTTGAGATTCAAAATCTTGGGAATTTACACACCATCGAAGGAGAATCATTTGATTATAACAAGGAATGAGATAAAACGACAGATATTTTAATTAAAGAAACTGGTTTTGGAGGAGAGAATTCAAGTGCTATCAAGGTTATTCTCAATCATTTACCTTGGATTTTTGGGAGAATTGTATTTTCTTTTGAGAACGATACTAACATGGAATGATTTGATCACATAGGATATGAAATTATTAATGGATGAAAATTGTTGGCGAAAAAGTTAGGCGATTTAAGATATTGGTAAGATGTTTTTTTGTTTCGTTTTGCAATACCGCGTGACATATGATTTATTTCTTCACAAAAGAAAAATTAATAATTTAAAAAAAAGATATCTGAAATAGTGACGGTATTTTATATCGTTGCAGATAATATTATCGTTGATGAATTCGAACCATGTAATTTTTTCATCCCATGTTTGTAACATGGATTGTTTTAATCAAATAGGATCTTAAATTATCAATGGAGAAAATCGTATGTGAAGAAGTGTTGCGATTTAAGAAATTGGTTAAGTTGTTTTTATTTTTGTTTATCATGTTATGCGTAATATTTAACATGTTTTTTCATGAAAAAAGATAATTAAAGATATATTGTATAAAAAGGATTATGAAAAGAGAATAGTAATTTAAATTGTTACAAATATTACTATCTTAGTTATTATCTATATTATCTATTATCCATATTTTTCTATTATCTATAATCATCCATATTACTATCTTACAGATATTAATGATTTAAGAAACTGGTAAATATTATTTTGTTCATCATGCATTTTTCTTCATAAAAATTTATTAACTATCTATAATAATAAAAGGTATATAACTAAATAAAATAACTTTTTACGCCTGTATAAGTTGTAAAGTTTTCACAACTCTAGCCTAGAATAGTTTAAACAAGCAATGGCCCATTAGATTAGTTCTTTAATTTTTCTTCTGTAGTATTTATTCTAAGTAAAGTTAGTTTTGTAACAGAGATGATTTTAGTTTAAATGAAAATTATACTTACGAAAACGAACATCGAATCTACATTGAATTTTCATAAACCACGCTTTGTCGAACAGAACTGACAACAATATTACCTCTGATATTCAAATCCAATCATTAAATTGAAAGTTATTCAGTTTTTGACTTGATTAATTCACTATAGTGTTTTTAATCGGTAAATTAAATTTACAATAGCGTTTATAAGACAAATATGTAACATAATTTTCTGAAATTTACGTAAATGAAAATTTAACTTATAAAATTGGCATTAAGAAACATAGTTATTTTGCATTTGTATAAAACATGGTCTTGCAGTGTACTTAAGACGCAGATACCAGCAGATCATCGAATTCAAGCCTTGCTGGCTGCGATCAGTGTTCGGGTGGGTGATCACTTTGATCAGCCTGCAAAGGAACCGAGGGTGAATAGTATTGGTCCTCGTTGAACTGAACTGTTCTACCGCAAAGTCTCGCGCAGATATCATCGGCCTACCGAAGAAAGGGTGATCTTTCCTCTACAGTGGAACGAAATAGGTCCTTGGACAACCTCAGGAATGTTTAGGTTACAAAATCAGACATAAAAATTAACTTTCTCTGAATAAACGTACCTTTTTTCGAATGATTCAAATTTTTGACTCCCAAAATGACTGACCGCAATTTGGGTAATATTGTCCCCATAGTTTGGTCACCAGAGCAGTCCAAAGTTTGGGTCCTTTAAAGTCAATTTTATTTTTTGCGTAATTAGCTATATCTCGAGAACATTTTTTAAGCAAAGTGAAAAATTTTTGCAGACTATTATAAAATTTGTTTACCCAAAGAATAAATAAATCTCAGTGAATATTTATTGTTTTTTTATTATTTTATGAATAATGGCCACAAAAAAAATTTAATAGTAAGGTAGAAAATATTTTGCATGGCTAATACAAAGTATCTAATTTTACATGGCAAAATACAAAACTTATGAGAAATCGGTCTAACAGTTTCTGAAAAATCAAATTTTTAAAACTCGATTTTTCAGGAACTATTCAAGCAATTTCGCTAAAATTTTGTACTTTGTCATGAAAAATTAAAAACTTTAAAACAATGTAAACCTTAGAATTCAAAAATTTTCCGCCTATTATTAAATAAAATAATAAAAAATAATTACTGAAATTTATTTTTTTGCTTGGAATTATCTTTGGGTAAACTAATATTATAATTGGGTGCAAAACTTTTTCACTTTGCTTAAAAAGTTCTGGAGATATGTGTAAGTAATGTAATACATTGTGTATACAATAATGTAATACATTGTGAAATGCATTGTGAGATACATTATGTATATAGTAATGTAATATATTGTAATACATTATGTAATGCATTGTAATACATTATGTAATACATTGTAATACATTATGTAATACATTGTAATACGAGATATGTAATCATTAAGTGAAGTACTCAAAAAGTAAAATAAGCATTTAGGGGTCCAAACTTGGGACCCACTCTCCTGACCAAACTATAGGGATCATATTTCCCAAATAGCCGGCCAGGTGGCCAAGCGGTTAGCGCGCCTGACTGCGAAGCCATTGGTTGCGGGTTCGAATCCCGCTCTGGGCATGGATGTTTCTCTCTCCCTTTGTGCTGTCCTCTGTTGTGCGTGTGTGTGCGATGTGTGAATGTGGCCCACCCTATAAACGGTTATGTGGCAGTGTGACGTGGGCAACGTTGCTCACCTCCGTGACTTTAGTTCACAGGTGCCCACTGGGTAACGCTAAATGAGTAACAATTCCGGCATCGTCATAGGCAAAGATTTAAATTCAGTGCCTGCCATTGGAAAAAAAATATTTCCCAAAAATATTCCCCTATGCTTTTGGTTCAGAAATTTGATTCTATCAAAAAAAGGCTTGTTTGTTCAGAGAAAGTACGTTTTTATGTCTATTTTGTAACTTAATATCGGCTGCACTAATTAATCAGCGTATTCAAGGCCACCTTTTCGAACCTTTTAGATTGAGTTCTAGAACGTGAAGATCCGATCATTAGATCAAAAGTTATTCAGGGTGGCTTGTTTTTTTGTTGGCCAACTGTACAAATCCAATCATTAAATTAAAAGTTATTGCGGTTTTTTCTTGTTTGATTCTTTAAATGCTTTTAACCGGTATACTTTGTTTGCAATAGTTGTTTATCCGACGAAACAAATAAAATAATTTTGCAACGAAAATGAAATTAATATAAATGAAAATTAAACTTATCAAAATAATCAAGTAAACATAGTTTTTTCAGTTTTTATATTCCACGCTTTCTCAAGCGGAACTGACAACACAATAACCTTTTTTTTTAACAAAGTAAAAGCGATTTATTCTTTTATTATTCTGGGACTAAGCGCTAATTAAAACAATCTCTTGCCTTGGAGGAACTGTAAGGAAAATATTAAAAACATTGAAGAACAATCGTACCAGAAGAAAGCAATTGAAATAAAACTTCGAAAACAAACTTGAGTGGCAGGTATCATTGAATAATATCATATTTAATAAGAAATAAACGCTTTAAACGTAGAGTGCTTTGACAGTTTTAAGTCTCTTTGCTTGACCTTTCTTTCGACACTGAACTGAAACGCAAATGAATTATATTGCCTACATCAGTGCAAAAAAAGTTTTGAGAAAAAGTTCCTTGAAACGTTTTTGCTAAACAGTAATGTCTAATTATAAGTTACTATTATTGCAGTATATCAGGAATATTATGAATTACTGCTTTTTGTAAAGAAATTAACGAAGAAAAAAAACGCCTAAAAGGAAATAATAAGTATTTTAAATATTAAATTTACTATTATATGTTAACCTTGAAGTTGTTTATTAAAATAACAATAGATGTTTCACATTTAAATAATTGTTCTACATAGCACTAGGGAAACTTAACACTCATTTACACTCATCATCATTTACATTACCTGCCACCTTGTTTGGTCGTTGAAAAAGTTTTTAAAAAGTGGTAGTAAAACAGTTAAGTTTGGAAAAATGTTCTAAAAACAAAACTATTAAGACACCTAAAACTATTAAGACACCTATAGGCATAGTCAGCTAAAAAATAGATTTTATCTACATATATTTTTTAAATTATCTATTCTTCGTGGTAGTTTTAAAACTTTCTTGTAACTTTAAACTTTAAGATTTAAAACGGCAAAATGCTAATGTTGCTACCACTAAGAGAGTTATTTCTCTACTGCCGCTCAAGTTGGCAGCTTTGCATTTATCACGGACCCATAACCCATTAAGGCAGTAAAATAAAAAAGCTATGCAATTACAATTTTAGTTCATATTTGTTAATACCAATTAAGGAGCCGCGATGGCTCAGGGGATAGAGCGTTTGCCTTCCAATGAGTTGAACCTGGTTCGAATCCTAGCGATGGCTGGTTGATACGAATTCCGCATCCGGTTTGCACTGACCACAGTGCTGACGTGAAACATGTGACGCAAATGCTGATTAGTTCCATCAAAAAATCCACCATGATGGCAAATTTCTCCCAATACATGATCTAGGAGTTCCCTTGTCTTCTGGATTGGGATCAAAATTACAAGGCTACATAGTTGAACATCAGTAGTTTGAAATACATCAATTAGGGTTTTCCCTGGAGTTGCTTCTGCCTCCCTTACCTATTTTTCCGACGTGTTGCCATGGATCGCCACCAAGACTACCTTTTTGAATCCTCTTTTTCTTTTGCTGAGAGGTCAACGTGCGCGGAGAATACAACGTGCGCAGTATTCTCCGTAGGCCCCTTAACGGGGCCGAGACGAGGTTAACCTTTGATTAGTAATTTTAAACCCAAAAGTAATAAAATATAAAACACCAATACAGGGATGCCACTGGCATCCAAAAGTATAAGAAGTGGTGACTAATAAAAAGCAAAAATTTATTAAGAGATATTAAAAGTAGTAACTTTTTCAAGCATATTTTTTCTTTCCAGTTTACTATTTAAAGAGAACTCAAAAATTACATCCGGTTTATGTATGAATAATTTCACAATCTAAGTCATGATGGTAGTTGCGGTTGAATAATCAAACAGATTCAATAAACAAATAAAGAAAAAGAATTGAGTTTCTATCACTCATTACAATTTTAGCCACCTGTGGTATCCCAACCAATGCAATGTTTTTTTTTTTTCCTGTTACTCACCAGACTAACCTTTTATACTGCTGTTCGTTTTATAATTTCTCATCGATTTTATTTGTAGTTACAAAAACAGAATTTGTAAATAGGGTAATTTTTAAGCACAGAAGTAAAAGTTTAT